CCATTAACAGAGCAGAGAATCTTAAGCAGCAAGGATCTGACCGTCGAGTCTTAACCAGTAAGAAATTCGGTGGCGCCATCAAAGACGCTCTCTTTTCTGCAAAGCTTGTACAGTAGTTGGCGCCTTTCGTTGCCGAGCTTGTTGAGTGTAACAAATAATCACTGCCTTGTATGCACTGCTCGGACTTTATCTGAAGATAATTGGACCTATTGGATAAGTGCAACGCAATGCTGCCTTTGTTGTTCCTTTAGATCATGCAATGCTGACTAGTTGGTCTTTCCTTATCAGGTTCGGAATATCGTCGCAGCTAAGCTTTTCATGCCTCTGTAGAGCTGCTGGCTGGCTCCATACATGAGCTCTTACAGTCTTGCAACATTCAGACCATGCAGTCTAAAATTAGGTTCTGTTTAAGTTCCGTACAAGCTTTTTTTATGTCTTCTTGATATGATGAAAGCAGCGCCGTTGCATTTGTATTAGTGAAAAAAGAAAAAGAACTGCAATGCTGAGTTCAGTATGTTCAGAGTGTATTTTTTTAGAGAGAGACAGTATGTTCAGATTTTTAGTTCTTTGACGGCATGGTATGGTTAGAACTTTTTTTAGGGGAGAATAGTATGTTCAGATGGGTCGATACAAGGACAAGCAGAGCAATCGGCACTCCAGAAATGCTTGCGCGAGCACATAAAACGGGCCGAATGTGGACACGCGTATGCCGGGCCGGGCCGTCTGACCTGAAGAAGAGGGGACAAAAAACGGAACGCGAACTCGCCATCTCTCAGTTGTCGTCAGGAAGCCCTAAAAAAAAGGTGTCGCCAGGCATTTGTCAAAAAAAAAAAGTTGTCGTCAGGCCATCCGGCAAGAAACGCCTCCTTATCTTCTCGGACGAGACGACTCCAGTCCAGTCACCACCTGGTTCTCCTCTGGCTACAAGGTTGGCCATGACGCAGCACTCTTCGGTTCGGAATGTCTATAGCGGCCTTCTTTTCTCTAGATTATCAACACTGTGAGACGACCCTGTATTTTAGAAGAGCTTCAGAAGTACAGAGGATAATGGATTTTGCGTCACTAGTCATGTGCACCCCTTTCAGGAAGCACGGTAGGTACCTAGAAAAAAGTAAATACGAGCCTACAAAGTACTCCCTCTGTCCATAATAAAATATGTTATTACATTCAATACATGAGTATATTGGATGTAATAACATCTTATATTATGGGAAGGAGTGAGTTGTTGTTTTTATGTTGACAATTTGTAGACCGTGAAACGGATATTCAACTATCAACGTTCATCATCGACTTAATTAGAAATAGGATTTCTCCTTGGGGATAGATGCTCTCAAGAAAAAATATGGATGTTGACAAGTCAATAGTATCGATACTTGAGAAGCAAAATGTTTGCGTAATTTAAATACCACACTCTCCTTTAGTAAAGAAATGCTCATGTAATTTAAAATGGTAGCATACTTCAATAATGTTATGTAATTTTAAAAAGTGGTCGCACGTTTCAAAATTATCCATGTAAATTTAAAAATTGTTCGTTGGCATTATTTACATTCTTGTAATTTTATAATGGGTTCATATATTTACAAAAATCATGTAATTTAAAATTGATTGTATAATTCTAAATATTGTTCACGTATTTTAAAAACTCTCAAAAAAGTTCATGTATTTTAACAAAAGTATTTGTGCGATCATAACAAAATTATATCCATTTTATAAAAAAAATAAAAACTATAAAAAATAAAAATAAAAAGAGAGAAATTAAAGAAAAAAATGGTAGAGCTAAAACAGAGAAAAACCAACCCAAACAAGAAAAACCAAGGAAGAATAAACAGAACCGCTAATGGGACTGACCCGTCAATGCCCTGTGTAAAGTATTGCAGAGAGCGTATCTGGTGCACCGGGACAATTGGTACTACTAATGCACCGGACTCCGTTTGCAAATTCAAAAGTATTCATATATATAGTCAGTGCATTGACACAACATCGTTCCATGTTGTCATGCTAGCTGCTCATGGGACCGGCCCA